AGTGACACAATAGATGACAGCCTAGGAAACTCCATGGGGCAGTTCCATTGAGTCCACCAATGGGCACCGTGACTGACCCCTCTTGCAGCGTCCACAGCAGACATGGGGGTCTGGAACCACTGCAGGTCTGAGCCTGTATCTGGCAGGGATTGCAGGGTGTCTGGGGCCACTCACCTTCCACCAGCTGGTCCAGGCTGGAGACCTTCTTGAGCCCGTCAATAGTGTAGATGGTCCTCACCCCCTGGGGCAGGTTCACGTTATCCGACAGAGTTCTGGTCAGGTCGGCCAGCAGGGCCTCAAAGGACCGGAAGCGGTCTGGAGAGATGGCATAGACGATGCCTTTGAAGTAGCGGTCTCCATTGCGGTAGAAGCGGACCTTCTTGGCCTTCTTCTCGGAGCTGAGAGTCTGCAGCGTGCGGGTGCGGTAGAAGCTGCAGTGGGCGCTGTGGGTGGGGCTGGGCAGCCCGTTGACCCGGGAACCCCTGCTGTAGCGCTGCGCCTTGTCCCGCTCGTCGAAGTGCTCCAACTCCATGTCTCTGCCGAAGGACATGATGACGTTCCAGGGCACCTGCAGAGACAGGGACGGGCATGCTCTTAGGGCAGGCCGAGGGCAGATGCCAGCACTGCCACACCTGACAACTCACCACGTGCGGCCTCGGAACCACTCGATGGCACTTCACAGCAACAGCAATATCGAGAGGGAGAGAAAGACGCAGCTCAGGAGTGGGAAGAGCCACGAAACCGAGCCAATTCCCACTCACGGAAACCCAGGGCAGAACAGGACTGCCCGTAGGTTCGGAAGCTGTAGTTCTTTTCAGAAGCAGGTAGCCTCATCGGTCTCCCTCCGAGCGGCTGGTGGGTTTGAACCACCGACCTGGCAGCTAGCAGCCCATGCTTAACCCACAGTGCCAGTAAAACCAGTTGCCAGCAAGTCCATCCCAAACCTTGTGTGTCAGAGAACTGTGCTCTGCAGGTTTTTCAGAGGCAGAGTTTCCCGAAGAGCTCGACAGGACTTTCTTCTGACACCTTCTGGGAGGACTTAAATTTCCCAGCTTTCTGTTGGCAGCCTGACGATTGAACACTTTGTGTCCCCCTGCCCCAGAGACTCCACGGAGAAGAACCCACCCAACAACCAAACCCACTGCCATCAAGACGATTCCATAAGGAACAGAGGAGAACAAGCCCCAAAGCTGGCATGGGTCCTGGTGTGAGCTCGCTGGAGAGTAAGCACACCACACCCACCAACTTCTCCCTGGAAACCCCATGCAGGTTCACTAGGAGTCAGAACCGACTCGGCAGTCCTAACAAGAATAAATCTTTACAGGAGCCATCGAGCGCCTTTCAACCACTGCTTGGTCTGAATTGCCAAAGCAGGTTTGAACTGCTGACCTTGTGGTTAGCCGATCAATACTGTGTCAGAGAGCTCCTTAAAGAACTGTTGTTGCAGGTAAGTGCCACCAAGCCAGTTCCAACTCACAACAACCCTGTACAGGTTTCCAAGGAGCGGCTAGTGGGTTAGAACTGCCAACCTTGTCCAGGGCTAGTGAGCAAATACAAATGAGTCCGACTGGCTGCTCCTTACTACCTGAGTGCTGAGAAGCTCGTCTTAGTTAGCAAGCCCACGGGAATCGGGGAGAACACGGCTCCAGGCGGATTTTCAACGCCTGATTTCTAGAAGCAGCTCGCCAGATCTTTCTCACATGACACCTCTGGGTGGATCTGAACTCCCAATCTCTCGGCCAACCAAGCATACTGACCATTTGTACTGTCCTGGAACTCCTTGTTAAAATAGTTCCTGTATACGGACCACATGCCACATACTAGTCTTTGAACAAAAACTCCGTGGACGAGAGGCATTAAAAGATCATGGCATTGTATTATCTCCATGAATTGCAGCCACCTCATCAAGTTGATTCTGCCTCACAGCGCCCCCATGTGACCAAGAACAACAGCCACATAGTGTTTCCTAGGCTGCCGTCACGTGTGTGTGTGTGTGAACCCAAACCCAGACTGACTGCCAGCGAATCTATTCCCCCTCACAGTGACCCCCTTGAGGGTTTCCAAGGCTGTGACTCATCTTGCTTGCAGAGTGTCTGGTGGATTTGAACTGCTGACCTGGGTTGGCAGCCCAGTGCTTATCCTACCGTGGACCTTGCAGTGAGCAGCGAGCACTTAACCACTGCACCACCAGAGCTTCTCTCATGTTCAATAGAAAATTTTACCAGGAAGCAAATTCACCCCAGCTTCTTGTTTATTCTTGTTCAATCTAAACCCATAACGACCCCGTGTAGGGTTTCTGAGGAGCAGCTGGTGAGCTTGAACCACCAACTTTGTAGTCCAGCGCATTAACCCACAGCACCACACCAGGATTCACCCCAGTTTACTTATATTTAGTGCTTCACTCAGGTATATGGGGTTAGAGAAAAGAAGATGAGGAAGAGGAGAGAGAAAGGAAAGACAAAATTGATTTCTTCGCAAGCCCGCCTTTCGTACCACCAACACGCTCCTGCCTGTGGGGCTGACTTGATCTAACAAGGAACTTGCTGTGTAACCTCAAGAAATCTACCTGATTAACATCGTTAAGGTTCCATCCCCTTAACCACAGACCAAAACCCAAACCAAACTTCCATCAAATCAATCCCAACTCACAGGGACCCTGTCTTCCCCATAGGGTTTCCGAGGCTGTAACTCTTTATGGGAGCAGACAACCTCATTTTTCTCTGTTGGGAGAGAGGGTGGGTTCGAACTGCTGACCTTTCAGTTACTGGTTTAACCCACTGTGCCACCAGCACTACTGATATTTCTACTATAGCTACATCAGCACTCACGAGAGCTCTACCAACTAATGCTGTACTGCCGCCAAAACCCAAGGCCACCGCCGACTCGGCAACCCTGTAGGACAAGTGCTCCATAGGGTTTCCAAAGCTGTCATTATTAAGGGAAAATCCACTGTGGTTCAGTGGTTAAGGGCTCGGCAACTGCCTGAAAGGTACGTGGTTCGAAGCCACCAGCCGCTCCAAGGAAGAAGATGTGGCAGCAAGCAAGCCACTGCTATGGAGCAGAGCTGACCCCACAGGGAGCAGGTGCCCCGGTCTGGCTTCCAGTGAGCAACTGCTGGGCTCAAACCACCAGTCTTTCGGCTGCCAGCTGAGCGCTTGACCATTGTGCCACCAGGGCCCCTTGTGCACTAAATGTAGTGCTAAGGGTTCTGGAAGATCGGTTAGCATTTGAGCTTCCTAGGGACCAAAAACTCATTGGAAAATGAAAAGAGAGTTTAAAACAAGACTGTTTCATGGTATTGGATTTGCTTATGTGCTCAGGCTGTACTATTTGCTTATCCAGGACATGGGTCCCATCGTTCACTTCACTGAGTCTGGTCAAAAGTGTGCAACTGAGAGATGTCAGCAAGAAAGAAAAAACAAAATCACAGACCCACTCCCATTTGGTCCTCTCAGACTCACAGAGACCCTGTGTGGACATAAACTGTCCCTTAGGGGTTCCAAGACTGTAAATCTTTACCGGAGCACAGTGCCTCATCTTTCTTCTGCAGACTGGCTAGTAGATTTGAACCAGTGGCCTTTAGGTTGGCAGCCATACACTTCACACACTGTGACACTAGGGTCCTTAACAAAGAAAAACCACAACCAATTGAAGTTGTTTTCATAACTACAACTCACACAACACAAATTCAGAAACCATACCAGCACGTCACTGTCCCAACCACCATGTCCCTTTGCCTTCTGAACAGTCCCTGGGGGGTGGAAATGGCCACGACACTCACTGTAAGGTACACTCGGAGACTGGAGTCAACCCAGAAGCACCTCTGAAGAAAGACCTGGCAATCTACATCCAAAAAATCAGCCACCGAAAACCCAAAAACCCGCACAATCCTACTCTGATACATGAGTCGGAATCAACTTCACAGCAACTGGTTAGGGTTTCCTATTAAAGCTTAAAGGGTCAGTGGCGGTTCAGGGGTAGAACTCTCCTCTTACAAGTGGAAGGTCCGAGTTTGATTCCTGGCCAGTCTGACAGTGAGGCTTGTGTGTTCATATGATGCTCAAGAGATTTCAGTGGAACTTCCAGACCAAGAGAGATGAGGAAGAAAGCCCTGATCATCTCCTTCAGAAGAACTCCGCACTGTAAACCTCGAGGAGCAGAGTTCTACCTTGGCACACAAGGGGTCACACAAGGCCTTGCTCCCCTGTCTCCACCCACTTAACCCTTCACTGCACTTGGACGACTTTCTGAACCAAGATCTCCTGGAGGAGTGTCCCCAGACTTCCATCGGTTCCCACTTTCTGCTCCTAGAGCAACTGCATGGACAGAATGACAGACCACACAGAGTCAGGTGCATGTACACATGTGTGCAGTGCTGCTAAGAACACAACCACACTGCAGCTCTCGTCACAGATACACTCGAGTGGGGGAGAAGGGTCTGCTCTCAGCCGAGATGTTCCTATAAACACTGCCAGGCCACAAAGAACACCCTTGAGTGGGATTTCTCACCATTTTGAGGAACCTCTGCGCTCCACCTTCAGATTCTCCTGGGGGTTCCTGCTTTTCGCTCTCTTTCACACACACACACAGTCCGACAAACAATTTGTCCTAAATGTTGTTGTTTTGAGCCATTGACTGAGTTCAAGTCCTAGGGACTGTACAGGACGGAACAGAATCACCCCCCAAGGATTTCCAAGGCTGTTACCTTTACGGGGCCAGACCACCCCTTTTTCTCCTGATGAACACTTGGTGGGTTTGAATTTCTGACCTTTGGTTAGCAGCCGAGTGTTTAAACCACTGCAACTGGCTCCCCCCCCAAAAAAAAAGATACCCCACTACTGTGAAATCGATTCCAGCTCTCAACGACCCTACCGGGCTGAGTAACACTGCTTCATAGGGTTTCCAAGGCTGTCGTTTTTACAAGACCAGATCACCAGACCGTTTCCCTTTGCATCGGCTGGATGGTTTGAACTACCAACCTTTCCGTTAGCAGCCAGAATGCTTAACCGCTGCACCACCAGTGCTGCTTTTCACAAACGCTACAACATCTAAATACATGCTGGTCGCCAGGCTGAGCGATGGGATTAGGATTTAGGTGGAAGGGCAGGCTTGGCATATGGCACACTCGCACCTTCAGGTTGGCAAACCGAGCAGTAGAAGACCACCACAGATGGCGCTATCAGCCGGCATGTGGGAACCTAGGATCATTCCCCTACACATAACCTCTTAAAATCCCTTCTGGCCCGGCATTCCTATGACATCTCACAGTTACAACGGTGCCCTAGTTTCCTTTCCTGCGGCCGAGGGAATCTATTTAGGTATGTACATAAGGCGTGTTCAGTGTGCAGCCTGCAGTGTGGCGGCGACACGCGTGGGCACCATCACCTGGGCTCCCAGGCACAAGTACAGGCGAGAGGAAGGCCCAAATGCAAGCATCCTAGCCTCAGCTCTGCTTGCAACAGCATCTTCCCGGCCGAGCCAGAGGCCACTCCGCGCGAACCTGCATCTCTCAAGCAGTCTCTTTTGTGGGCCAATGCGGGGCGGCGTGTG